AGAGAGACAGAGATGTGACAGAAAAGATAGTTCCAGCTCAAGAGGTTGCTTGAAGCTGGGAGGGTTTCTGAAAACAGAGCATACATTACTAGATGTGTGGGGTGTCTGGTGAGTCTTCAGGGCAGACTACAGAATATGACTGTCACATTATCCTCTGTAGGCAAAGGCCTGGGCCGAAAGGAGAATGGCATCACTCAGGCCCTCAAAGTGACCCTGAAGCAAGATACTCATGGGGTAAGACTGGAATACTATTCAGCATGCCATGATGGGAGCTGGATGCTTGAGGACAGGTGGGGAAGGTACTCAGAGCTCATACTTTTTCTCCTGACAGGTGGGACACGACCCTGCTAAGGAGTTCACAAACCACTGGTGGAATGAGCTCTTCAATAAGACTGCAGCCAATTTGGTAGTAGAAACTGGACAGGTATGAGCTTGTTAGGTAGATACATGAAACAGGAGGGTCTTGGATGCGGTAGGGAAGATATACTATGTTACTACTCACTGATATTTTCCTTCAGGATGGAGTACAGATAAAGCACCTTTCTGAAGAGACTGCCAATCGAAAGTACTCGAAGCCTAATTTATTATATCAGAAGTTTGTGAAGGTATTAGAAGCTGGGTGAGAGAATCCATCCTCCTTCTCCCCACCCCTTTCCTATCTCCATTAGAATCTGAGCAATTGCTTTGTGTGTCCTTTCAATTCTCAGGATGTCCTAATATCCTGAGATCCTGTGCCACCTTTGCTGTGCTTCCTTAGACTGCCTCAGCAAGAACTGAGATCTTCAGGTTCCATGGATTTCCTGCAGTCTGTTGAGGGAACAGAAGTAGGGAGTGGAGGACTGGAAGGTAGAGTGTAGTTCCTTGAGTTAGGAGCTGCCAGAGAACAGGGGTGGGTTGAGGATGGGCTTATGATGCCTAATTTATAGGGTTTAGAGGAGACTTGAGAGATTATCTGATCTGTCCTTTGCATATGTGTCCCAAATAGTGAAACATGGCTTGCCAGAGTTTACAGCTGGCTAATAATGTCCGACAGAACTAGACCCTAGGATTTGGGGCTGTTTTTACTATACCAATAAAGGGAACATTTAAAGATCACCTATTAGGTGCTGAGAGCTTTAATGTAATCTAGTAAAGCTTTCCCATTTTGGTAACCATGTACTACTCCAGATGGGTTTTGTTTTTTGTTGGTCATGGGGCCCAAACTGGGCCTGGGCGCTTTTCCTCAGCTCTTCAGCTCAAGGCTAGCGCTCTACCACTTGAGCCTCAGCATCACTTCCGGCTTTTTTTATGTGGTGCTGAGGAATTGAACCCAGGGCTCATTCGTGCAAGGCAAGAGCTCTACCACTGAGCCACCTTCCCAGCCCCTGTTTTCATGTCTTTAACAGCCTTCCTGACTCCAATCTCACTCCCCACCCCAATCAGTTCAGTCCTTCACAAAGCATCTGGAAGCATCCATAAAATTATCTCTGTGACCTAGGATGACTATCTACATTTATCAAGACTGTCTTACATGGACCTACATGCCTTGTCTGCCTTCTCCAGCCTAATTTCTTGCCTTCCCTCTCCATGATTGTTAGCCAAGTAGAATCCTTTTTCTTTCCCTCCCTCCCTCCCTCTCTTTCCTTCTTTCTTTCTTCTCTTTCCCTCCCTTTCCCCACCCCCCTCTTGCTAGTCTTAGAGCTTGAACTCAGGGCCTGGGCACTGTCCCTGAGCTTCTTTTGCACAAGGCTAGCATTTTACCAGTTGAGCCACAGGGCTGCTTTCAGCTTTTTCTGTTTATGTGGTACCTGGGCTTCATGCATGCTAGGCAAGCACTCTACCACTAAGCCACATTCCTTGTCATTTTTTTTTTTCAAGACAGTATTTTCTTCAGTCCTCAGTTATTTGCACATGCTGTTCCCTCTGCAGGGCCATTTCTCCCTTTGCTCTTTTCCTACTAACTTTTTCTTGTCTTCCAGACTCATCTTACAAATTAGTTAATTGTAGAAACTACTCCTCAAATCCTCATGTTTGGGGATGCTCCTATAGTAAGCCAGGGAACAAGTTGGTCTTACTTGCCCATGTTCTGTCATACTCCCTTCCCTCCTTCCCTATGCAGTTCCATCTCAGCTGGATCCATCTCATTCTACACCACCCTCAATTCCTGGTCCGTAATAGTTTCTCAGTAACTCTAATTAAACAGGTATGATGAATAGGTCTGGGGTAGGGGATAAAGTGCCATCTTTATTTGCAGTTACTGGCACCTGTAACCACTGAGAAAATATGATGACCCACAGCACTTTCTCCCTGCTTGTTCTGTCCACTAGCCAGCTGTGAGCCGGACATGCCAAGTTTAAGTATGCATCCTGTCACATCTTTCTGTAAGGAGCAGTGTTGAGGGCTTCCAGATTCCTGCCTTGAGAACAGTACTAGCAGTGGTTATTGAGAGAGTCTTGTCTACTCCCATGATTCTTCCTAGACAGCCACACTGACTTCAGGTGGAGAGAAGCCAGACAGAGACTTGGAGAGCAGCAGTGATGAAGATAACCAGGGACCCATACCTCCAAATATGTGAGACTTCATTTCAGTACATTTTACCATGTGGGAGGGGATGCATTGGAATCTTAAGAGGGAGGGCTAAATCTAATGCATGACTGGGTTTCTTGAAGGACAGAATTAGGTTGTAGTTCTAGCACCCCATAAAATGCCAGGTCTCAAATAAAATTCAAGTTGTTGAAAAATCATTTCAGAGGGGAGGAGAAGGCAAGCCTTCCTACCTCATCAGTGTGTAACTCCTCATCTGCCCCACAGTCTGACAGATGAAATGCTGCTCCAAGCTTGTGAGGGTCGAACAGCACACAAGTAAGTAGTGGTCTCTTTGGACTGTCCTTGCATGTAGTCTGTCCTCTTTCGCTTCACCCCAGGAAAATAATTCCTGATATTGACCCATCTACTGCCTGAAAATAGGCTGCTCCCTGCCCCTAACTTTTCCTGAAGGCCTAAGGGCCATTTTCTTGACACTCACTGACTTGGACCCCATCTATTTCAGGGCTGCCCGTCTTGGGATTACAATGAAGGCCAAGCTTGCTCGGCTAGAAGCCCAGGAGCAAGCCTTCTTGGCTCGTCTGAAATGCCAGGACACTGAGGGCTCTCAACCACAGACTGAGAGCAAACCTACCCCAAAAAAGAAAAAAAAAAGGAAGCAGAAAGATGAAGAAACTATAACAACTGAAAATTCAGGTGAAGAGTACCTAGAACAAATTAACCAGAGTTTCAGGAAGAGCAAGAAGAAAAGACAACATCAAGAACAAGTCTTAGAGGAGAGAGAGGGAATAACTATACAGTGTGAGGAGGAAGAGACTGTAGGAACAAGTGGGCTTGAGAAACGAAAGAGCAGAGAACAATCCAATCGGGCCCTCAAGAAAAGGAAGAAAAAGAAGAGGCAGCATCATGAAGAGGATGAAATGGGAGTCTTCAGTGAAGAAGAAAAAGGCAAGGAGGCTCCAGGTAGTGTTAGTACAGAAGAGGTGGAAAGCAGAGTACACACTGACCTGTACATCAGAAGCAAAAAGAAGAGGCATTGTAAGCAAGAGGACTTGAACACAGAGGAGGAAGGAGGGCTGGAGACTGCTTTAGATGGCAGGGCTAGGGAAGCAGAAAGCAGAGCCGGGGGTGATGGCAGAAGCAGGAAAAGCAAGAAGAAAAGACAAAAGCATCTGGAGGAATAGGATGAGGTTTGTGGTATAAGTCATGAAAATGTGGATGATAGGACTAGGGAAGTAAAGAGCAGAGGTAAAAGACAGCAGTCACTTATAGAGGAAGAGAGAGCTAGAGTCAACACTGGCCAGAGAGTCAAAAAGAAGAAATCAAAAGAGAGAGACTGAAGGTCTGGATCAAGGTGGAGCTCAATCAGTTACCTTCCCACTACAGTGTAACCTCCAGAGAGAGCTGAGTTGAAACAAGACTTCAGCACCCATCTCAGTGCCCAAGGAGGAAACTGAACTCTGGAATCCGCAGTCTTGAGAGAACCAAAGCACTGTGCCTTAGCTGAGAAGTTCTGTTCTTAGCATGTCCGAACAAAGAGCCAGGAATCTAAAAGACAGGGAATGCTAGAGGCTGTGGGAAGAGCAATACAGATAGGGGCATATGCACTTGCAGTAACATCCATGTTAAAGAAGCTGAAAATTTAAACTTTGTGTGAAATGCATTCATTTTTTTAATACTCTGAAAACATGAATTCAGGTCTACAGGCTAGGTTTAGCTGGCAGGCTATACCAAATGATTATTAATAACAGCTTGGGCTGGGGGCTGGTGGCTATGCCTGTAATCCTAGTTTCTCAGGAGGCTGTTTAAAGCTAGTCTAGGAATCAAAGTCTGTGAAACTGACCCTGATAGCCACCAAAAAGCCAGAAGAGAAGCTGTGGCTCAGTGGTGAAGCACTAACCTTGAGAAAAAAAGCTCAGGGACAGTGCCCAGACCCTTGAAATTTGGCACCAAATTTAAGGAAACATTACCTTGGACCCTAGCCTACAGGTTAAGTACCAAAACCATCTCCATTTCCAGCCTGGAAAGGACCTAAGTACAAACTAAGAGACAGTTTTGCTTAGAGACAGTTTAAGGCAAGTTAAGCAAGCAAGAGGCCCTGAGTTCAAATCCCCAGTACTGAAAAGGGAATAAAAGAATTATGTGAGCTGAGTGCTCGTGGCTCACACCTGTAATCCCAGCTACTCAGGAGGCTGAGTTCTGAGGATCATGGTTCAAAGCCAGCCTGGGCAGGAAAGTCCATGAAACTCTTACCTCCAATTAACCACCAGAAAACTTTGTACTGTGGCTCAAGTGTGCTCACTGAGTGCTTGCCTTGGGCTGAAGAGCTCAGGGACAGTTTCCAGGTCCAGAGTTCAAGTCCCCCCCACAACCAAAAAAATAAAAGGATTCTGTGTAAAGGATATCAAACCTTACTTGATATCTAACAGTTCTTTTTGGTTCCAAATGCCACAGCAACCTCTCTTGCCTGTTGTTTCTGCAGAGAGATAGTGTTACCTTTCCAGTGTTGTTCTTTGGCTCCCATCACTAATCTTTATGGCCAGAAGAGCTTCTGGGACACCAGAGTTTTGGGAATGAAGGCACTAGGTCTTTATTGGAATGAATGCCCATCCTTTATCACTGCAGACGATAGACACACTCAGTGTCAGGGTAGGGTGGCAGGTTTAGCTGGTACTTCTTCTCCAGAGCAGGTGGAACAAAACGACCCCCCAAGTAATGATATCGGCCAGTAAACTGAGATGCAGACTTTTTGGGTGCTGTCAGGGAGATGAGTAAGTCTGGCTGGATTCCTCCAGAGTTTCCCTTCTCCACATCCCATCCTGCAAAGAGGGTGATATTCAGAAAGCACCAAAGAAGCTACAGGTCTAGTCCCCTTCCACAACTTCCCTTATAAAAATAGTCTTAGCATACTCCCTAGATGCTCCCTATACTTTGGCCTTGGATTTCTTCATGGACCAGCATATGAAGGGGCTTATGAACTTTGCTTCACAGCCCTAATGTGGGATGTAAAAAAGTGTGTTTTGCCCCTTCCACCATCCCCCTCTCCCCAGGACAAATTATTTCAGGCTTAGTGTAAGTCACAGCTGAAGAATCAAGTGTTGTGAGACAGGGTAGGGCCCAGTTCCCTCCCAACCTTTTGAGTCCCAGTACCTGAGGGAATGTCAATGCTGGCAATGGGCACGGTGATTCCACTAAGGACATTGAGGATGCTGTGGAATGGGTCCCGAACATCACCCTTGAAGCTGAAGCCAAAGATGGCATCCACCACCAGGTCATACAGCTCATCAATCATCCCAGGCTGTGAGCAGGAAAAGTCAGAGCTGTCAGCTGCCTTACCTAAAGGCTTTCTGCCTGGACCCCACTCAAAGGCACACATAGACTTGTCTGCCAAAGGGCATCCTAAGGTCTAGAGTCAGGGGAGATGGTCATGAATTCAGGCCAACCTGAGGCTACATACGTTATTCTGTCTTCCTGCTACTGGGGTACCAACATTGTGGTTGCGCCTCAGACAGTCAGGATCTGATTATGTTCGCTGCTTTGTGAACAATTCTGTAATGAGGCAAACCAATTCTTTGCACCTAGTGTCTTCTACTGTGAAATGTGTGGTTTAAAAAAAAATGGCTGGGAAGGTGGCTGAGTGGTAGAGCATGCATGAGGCCCTGGGTTCAATTCCTCAGCACCACATAATCAGAAAAAAAAAGCCGGAAGTGGCGCTGTGGCTCAAGTGGTAGAGTGCTAGCCTTGGGCTGAAGAACTGAGGGACAGCGCCCAGGCCCCACGACCGGACCCCCCCAAAAAATATTAAAATTTCCACCCCCAAATTCATACATCTACAGAAAAGGTTAGACTGAAGCAGTTACTCCAGTCCCTGAGGGGCAGGCCAACTACTTAACTGCATGCTTGAGAGGACCATCACAGTTTTTCTTTTTCTTTTTTTTAATTGTGAAAATACTGTACAGAGGGGTTACAATTACATGGGCAAGATAATGAGCAAATTTCTTATCAAGCATTGTAGCCTCTTCCTTTGTTTCCCCTTCCCATCCCTTCCCATCCTCCTCCCCCGCCTCCCCAAACCATCAGTTTTTGAGATGGTAGTACTGAGTAGAAACTTACGGAGCACACCTTATAATCGAAACTGTTCCACCACTTTTATTCATATGGCGCTTTTTTTATTTTTATTCATATGGACTGTTTAGTGAGCTCAGCCTAGAAACATGGATGAGCACAAGGCAGTGACTGAGGAGATGGAAGTAGTAAACAGAAGCCACTTACCTCCGGGGGCATTTCAGCAAGGAAAGGGATGTCCATTTTCTCACACTGAGTCACCAGCCCAGTGAAGAGTGGTTTGTTAGGTCTTTTGGGGTAGTAGATGCATGGTTGGTAGCCCTAGTTGGAAACAAATTGAGCATTCAATCCAGATTCCGGAATCCTCACCCTCTTCCCCAAAAGCCTCTGCCCACATACTCACAAAGAGTTTGAGGTGTCGGGCACAGACTAAACCGTCCCCTCCGTTATTTCCAGGGCCACAGATGACCAGGACAGTAGGAGGGCTCCTGGACAGGGAGGTAGGGGGATATGCCTGAAGGCAGAGGCAAAGGCGTTTCAGGCAATAACAACAACACGTTGGATCACTTGTATTTCCCACCCCTCCGTGCGCCTAGGCCAGGAGGCTGGAACAGCGGCTCCTGCCAAAATGCTGCAAGTTGTGTCACTGACCTTGGCAATGGCTGTGGCACAGCTCAGCCCGGCCAGCTCCATAAGTTGGTCCACGCTGAACTGGTATTCGTTAAATAGCTCCTGATCCACGGCCTGGGCCTCCTCCTGGCTGCGGGAAGCCCTCGCTTGAGTTCCCGCCCCAGGCGGGACCCGTGCGCCCCCGTCCTGCCCCCGCGCCCCGCTCGCCTACCTCAGGTACTTGACGGCCGTGCTCGCCATGACCTCTGAGCCCCGGCGGCCACTCAAGCTCAGACGGCGCGCTTCCCACCAGGTGGTGCCCGCAATGCAGACGCCCGCCTGCCTTCTGACTCGCGTCAGCCGCGAGCCCGCCACCAGCAGCCCAAGCCCCAGCAACGCCCGCAGCCCCGACATCCAGCCCGCCGGGCGCGCGCCACTGACCCGCCCCTCCCGTCCTGCGCACGCGCAGCGCTCGAACCGCCCCAAGTGGCGTAGTCAGCGTGCGCTATTCCGGAAGTGTGGGCGCGGCCGACCCCAGCGCGCCGCGTTCTCAGTGACCACGCACCCGGGCGCTCTGCCCCTCTCCCGGCAGCCGGGGGCCGGCTCTTCACGGCGGCGTGCCGGTCCCCAGGTTTCCAGACCGACAGAAGCGCCTGGCTCCCATCAGCACTCTGCGCTTTCCTACCGTGAATCTTACATAGATTAGATATGCGGTAGTTACATAATTGAAACCATAGATTGCAGGTCACACTGATGGGGGGCGGGGGGTCGGCGCTCTGGTTTGAACTCAGGGCCTTGGCTACCACTACCACTTCTAGTTTTCTGGTGGTTAATTGGAGGAAAGAGTCTCATGGATTTTCCTGCCCTGACTGGCTTTGAACCTAGCTTTTCAGATCTCAGCCCCTTGAGTGGCTACTCAGGATTATAGGCGTGAGCCAGCAGTGCCCAGCCACATTCATGTTTTATTAGAAACCTTGAGAAGAAAAACAGTAGGTCTGTGTATCTGTGTGTGTCCTTGCTCTCCACCTCAGTTTTTTTGCTCATTGCTGGCACTTTACCACTTGAGCTACACCACCAGTTACAGAAAGAATAAATTTTATCCAAGGTAGTGTTGTGGGGGGGGGGGGTGTTGTTTCTGTGCTGGGAATAGAACCTAGGGCCGTGTGTGTGTGTGTGTGTGTGTGTGTGTGTGTGTGATGGTGGTGTTTCCGTGCTGAGAATGGAACCTAGGACCTTTAATAAGCTGCTACAGCTTATTAAACTAAGGGCTGGCTCCACTTCGAGCTTCTGGCTTTTCAGAGGTTAATTGGAGAAAAGAGTCTCCCAGATTTGAATCACGATCCTCAGACCTCAGCTTCCTGAGTAGCTAGGATTACAGTCATGAGCCACCAGCATCTTGCCCAAGTGTTTCTGAGATTGCAAACATTCTTTTGCATCAATAAAGCAAAAGATTGGGGAATAACCAATCAGTCGCCAATAAGGTAGTAAGACAGCGGATACTCGTGAATCACACCTGTAATCCTAGCTACTCAGAAGGCTGAAATCTGAGGATCATGGTTCAAAGCCAGCCCAGGTAGGAAAGTCTGTGAGACTCTTATCGCCAATAAACGGCCAAAAAATCAGAAGTGATGCTGTGGTTCACACTCCCCTTGAGCTGAAGGACAGCACCCAGGCCCAGAGTTCAAGCCCCACAACTGACCAAAAAGAAGAAGAAGAAGAAGAAGCACTAAGATGATTTTCCAGATTTTTATGAGCTAAATGATTTTCCCAGATTCATAGCTGAAACCATAACTCCCGATGTGACTGGTTTTGGAGATAGGCCTTTAATAGGTAATTAGGGTTAGTTTTAGGTCATAAGGGCTAGGCCCTGGTATGATGGTATTACTGACCTTGCAAAAGTTTAAGATCCCCCCTCCCCCTGCACACTCATATACTATACCAGGATTCCTACCATGCTGGTAGAAGAAATAAATTTCTATTTTTTAAGCATCCAGTGGTGTTTTCATTATGACAGCCCAAGCTAAGGCACAGGTAAAGTGAAATTCCTTCTTCTGTGCTAAACTTAGCTGATTTCATGAAATGTATTCTGGGGCTGGGAAAGTGGCTCAGTGGAAGAGCGCTTGCCTTGAGCTGAAGAGCTGAAGGACAGCACCCAGGCTCAGAGTTCAGGCCTCAGGACTGACAAAAATAGAAGAAGAAAAGAAATGTATTCTAGGCTAGTTCACTGAGAAAGTCAAAATTTGTGATTACTATCCCTGCCCTCTCCCCGCTCCTCCCGCCCCCCACCGACTCCCAGCCTTGGTGCCAGTCCTAGGGCTTGAACTCAAGTCCTGGTCACTGGCCCTGAGCTTTTTTGCTCAAAGCTAGAACTTTGCCATTTGAGCCACAGCTCTGCTCTATGTCTATCTTTTTGGTAGTTAACTGGAAATTAACTCACAGACTTTCCTCCCCAGTCTGGCTTCAAACTGTGATACTCAGACATTAGCCTCCTGAGTAGCTGGGATCATAGGAATGAGCCACCAGCACCCAGCTTGATATTCTTATTTTTAACTATAATAGTCATACTATCTGTGGAGGTACCCTTGGCCTCAGCTATACTTCTTTATGTATTTGTCAGACTGTTTTTTGTTTTTTTTTTTTTTGTCAATCATGGGGCTTGAACTCTGGGCCTGGGCGCTGTCCCTCAGCTCTTCAGCTCAAGGCGAGCACTCTACTGCTTAAGCCACAGTGCCACCTCCGCTTTTCTAGTTGTTTATTGGAGATAAGAGTCTAACTGACTTTCCTGCTCAGCTGACTTTGAACCTCGATCCTCAGATCTCAGCCTCCTGAGTAGCTAGGATTACAGGCATGAACCACTGGCACCCGGCTGTCAGACTGTTCTTGTGGAAAACTGAATTTCCTCATTGAAATTGTATAACTGTGTGCATTCCAATGGGATAATCTCATCTAAGACCTAACTTTATTTTCTCACTTCACTAGTTCATAAGTGGCTTCATGTTGATACATTATTCAAAACTTCCTATAGGCTTGAGAAAATTAATATAGTCATTCTGAAGATTTTTTTTTTTTGTCAGTCATGGGGCTTCAACACCTAGGCCTGGGTGCTGTCCCTCAGCTCTTTAGCTCAAAGCTAGCCCTTTACCACTTGAGCCACAGTGCCACTTCAGGTTTTCTGGTGGTTAATTGGAGATAAGAGTCTCATTGACTTTCCTGCCTGGGCTGGCTTTGAACTGTGATCCTCAGACCTCAGTTTCCTGAGTAGCTAGGATTACAGGCATGAGCTACCAGTGCCTGGCTTCATTTTGAAGATTCTAAAACACAATGAGAATCACATTCTTTTGACAGAGATAACAACACTTAATATGTACCAGGTGCTAACATGAATCATCTCTTTTTTTTGTCTGTGGGGGGGTTTGAACTGTGGGCCTGGGCGCTGTCCCTCAACTCTTTAGCTCAAAGCTAGCCCTCTACCACTTGAGCCACAGCGCCACTTCCAGTTTTCTGGTGGTTTATTGGAGATAAGAGTTTCATGGACTTTCTTGCCTGGGCTAGCTTTGAACTGAGATCCTCAGATCTCAGCCTCCTGAGTAATTAGGATTACAGGTGTGAGTCACCGGTGCCAAGCAAATCATCTCTTCTCCCAGTAACTGTTTTCCTATTTTACAAATGAGATGAGAAAACTGAAGTTCAAAGGTACTGCCATGCCTAATGGTACTGTACATGCCTAATGGTACTGTGAGGGCTGTTAGTGGAGCTGGGTTCCAAGCAGTCTGAACTGGAGTCTGTACTTAAGAATTATTCTAGGGGGGCTGGGAAGGTGGCTCAGTGGTAGAGCGCTTGCCTTGCATGCCTGAGGCCCTGGGTTCGATTCCTCAGCACCATATAAGCAAAAAGAAAAAAGCCGGAAGTGGCGCTGTGGCTCAAGTGGTAGAGCGCTAGCCTTGAGCTGAAGAGCTGAGGGACAGCGCCTAGGCCCAGAGTTCAGGCCCCACGACTGGACCCCCCCCCAAAAAAAAGAATTATTCTAGGCATGGCTCATGTGTTACAGCACCTGCTTAGCAAGTGCATAGCCTTGAGTTCAAACCCTAGAACCTCAAAAAAAATCTATACTCACCAAATATAGAAACATGAAATAAGAGGTTATCACTACAGACTTCATTCTGTTGAGATATAGCTATAAAATTATCCCACCACACCACCCCATATAGGGGCTTACCCCTAGGGAGGCAGTGCCCAAGATCTAGTCTGCTTTGTTCCTGACATTTACCCTTTTGGAATTTTGTGGGGAAAATGCTTTCAAAACCAAGTCAGGCCATCACATGGATTAATTACCTGCTGAGTCCCAAAAGCTTTGCATATAATGTCATATTTAATCTTTTGAGTCCTATAATACATTTATATTCTATTATAGATTCGAAAATTGAGTAGCAGAGAGAAATCAAGTAATTTCCTATAATGCTGGCTATTCAGGAGGCTGAGATCTGAGGACTGAGGTTCAAAGCCAGTCTGGACAGAGAAGTCTGAGAGTCTTACCTCCAATTTACCAGCAAAAAGCCAGCAATGGAGCTCTGGCTACAGTAGTAGAACACCAGAGCACCAACCTTGAACAAAAAAGCCAAGTGAGAATGTGTGTGCAAGCTCAGAACTGGTGTGCGCACACGTGCGTGCGTGCGCACACTCACACACACACACACACACACAAACAGAATGTCAGAGTCTTACCTGGGTCTTCAAGCTCCATGGGGCCACTTTATCAGCCCTGGGTTGCTTATATGAGAAATAAAACTCTGTTTAAAGGAACTGTTATGTGGGCTTTTCTTCTTTTTTTCCCAGCTGGTGAACCTGCATCCTGACCAATACACCTTGAAAACCTGACAAGATAATAAGCTCTGCCCAGTGAGGGTGGCTCACGCCTGTAATCCTAGCTACTCAAGAGGCTGAGATCTGAAGATCACGGTTCAAAGCCAACTCGGGCAGGAAAGTCTGTGAGACTTATGGAGAAGTAGCGCTTATGGAAGTGTCACTGTGGCTAAAGTGATAGAGCTTTGAGCTAAAGAGCTGAGGGCCCAGAGTTCAAGCCCCATGACAGACAGACAGACAGACAGAAAGAAAGAAAGAAAAGCTCCATTTAGATAAGGATGACTGGTTATATCCCTATTATCTGGACTTCTTAGCACACAGTAGATCCTCTACTAATACTTCAGTGAATACAAGAAAATCTTTGGAAGTAGTTCTTGGTATAGTAGAAGCCCTTAAAATGTGGCAGAATATGCTACCTCAAAACAAGCTGCTTTTAGCAGGGTGCTGGCTTACATCTATAATCCTAGCTACTGGAGAGCCTGAGATCTGAGAATTGTAGTTCAAAGCCAACCTGGGGAGGACATTTTATCACTCTTAGCTCAGGTTAATTAGCAAAAAGCCTGAAGTGGAGCTGTGGCTCAAGTGGTAGATAGAGTGCTAGCCTTGAGTGAAAAAGGCACTGAGCCAAGTCCCAGTACTGGTACCAGAAAAAAAGAAAGAAAGAAAAAGAGAGAAAGCAAAAAAGAAAGGAAGAAAGAAAAGAGAGAAAGAAAGGAAGGAAATAAAGAAGAAAGGAAAGAAAGAAAAAAGTGAAGCCTGGCACCAATGGCTCATACCTGTAATCTTAGCTACTCAGGAGGCTGAGATCTAAGGACGGAAGTTCAAAGCCAGCCTGGGCAGGCAAGTTTGTCAGACTTATCTCCAATTAACCAACAGAAAACTGGGAGTGGCACTGTGGCTCAAGGGACAGGCCTAGAGTTCAAGCCCCATGACTAAGGAAGGAAGGAAGGAAGGAAGAAATCACTTTGGCATAAGAAACTAAAGTCACTTGAAATAAAGTACACGTATAAAGGGCAGTCTAGCCTCCACTTTTCATCCTGAAAGCAGGAAATAAGATTCTTGTGTGAAAAAAATGTCTTTTTTTTGGACATTCCTGGAGCTTGAATTCAGAATGTGTGCTCTTACTCTTTGATTGAATAAAATCTATGCTTTCTCTTATAAATTTGTGGTGTGTGTATTTATGTGTTGTTGGGATGGAACTCAAAGCTTTGAGCATACAGGTGAGTGCTCTGCTACTGGGCCATATCCCCAGCCATATTGATCTGTTTTATGTACATTTAATTCAAACTAGAGAGCCTAAAAGGGTAGAGGCTAAATTTTGACGGCCTTACATCCTTTTAGATGACATGATCACAAGTGAATTCAACTTAAACCAAAAATTCAAAGACTTGATCAAGTCTCTTAAGGATCCAACTTCAGTTTTTGTAGAAACAATGCTTATTTTCACATTGAGTTCCTCAATTTTTATACTATTTAACAACATGAGCACATGCTGTAAACCACAGCAGGCTGTAACAGGCAAGGCATTATTGGGAAAGGGCTGCTGCTCAGCATTCTGGATGATGCTTGTTGCCTCAATGTGAATGAATATTGTCTTACTGTACCACTTGTGTAATCTGGGAACTCAAGTTACTTAACCTTTGAGCCCTCTTTTCTATCCTTGTTTTTGCTGTTTGTGTGTGTGTGTGTGTGTGTGTGTGTTTTGCCTTTTGTGTGTGTGTACAGGTCTTGGAACTTGAACTCAGTGCCAAGGTGCTGTCCCTAAGCTTTTGCACTCAAAGCTAGTGCTCTGCCTTTTGAGCCAGAGCTCCACTTCCAGCTTTTTAGTAGTTAATTAGAAATAAGAATATCATACACTTTCCTGCCTGGGCTGGCTTTGAACCATGATTCTCAGATCTCAGCCTACTGTGTAGCTAGGATTATATGGTCTCACTGTATAGCTCAGGCTGGCCTCAATATATATATATATATTTTTGATCTGGGGCTTGAACTCAGAACCTGGACACTATCCCTGAGCTCTTTTGCTCAAGGCTAGCACTCTACCACTTTAAGGCACAACTCCACTTCTGGTTTTCTGGTGGTTAATTAAAGATAAAAAGGCTCCTGGATTTTCCTATTCTGGCTAGCTTTGAACCATGATCCTCATATCTCAGCTTCCTGAGTAGCTAGGATTACAGATGTGAGCCACCAGTACCTGGCAAATCTCAAACTTTGATCCTAATATTTCTGTCTATTGAGTGCTAGGATTGCAGGTGTATACCACTATGTGTAGCCCCTTCTTTTCCTTAGCTATGAAAGGAGATAATAATAACCTCATAAGCTTTTGCTTCCTTTCTGGATCAAAACCTAGTTGCTTAAGCTCTTTGCAGTTTGAAGAAACCATTTCTCAGTTGGGAGATTTGGAGCCACTGAAGTTTCTCCAGACTGCCTCTCTTGTATGAGAAACAGGGATGCAAGGCTAGAGAAGACAGCTTAGCCAACACATGACTCAGCTTCCTCCCTGAAATAGCAAAGCTCCAATCACTGTGGCCTGCAGACAACGCCAAGGGCAGCAACAACAACAAGAGGTGACATTTATTGAACATTAGATGCATGCTCCACATACTAAGTGTCTTACAAGTGTGGTCTCATAACAAGCTTATGAGGCATTGTTATTTCACACAAGAAGTTTGTTTCTCTGTTTTGCAGTGCTGGGAATTAAACCCAAGGTCCTGTGCATGCTAGGTAAGCACTGTACTACTGAGCTACAACCCTGTTTGGCTTTTTTGTCCATACTGATTGAACAACTGGGAAAAGCCTCAGACCTCAGAAATCAGTAGAGTGTGTGTGTGTGTGTGTGTGTGTGTGTGTGTGTGCGCGCGCGCACGCGCGTGCCACAAGATCATGCAGGAGCAGGTCACAGGATCATGCAGAAGCCAGATTGGGGGATTCTCTTCTGAGGGTTCCTGCTGAGGGTTTCTCTGGGCCATTTGCAGGACCTAAAGGAGGCATAGAGGGTTTGCCAGTGGGGACACTGGAGACTGTCTCTCCCAGCTCTAGCTTCCCATGCCCTCTCTTTTCCTCACCTCTGTTTGTGGGCTCCAGTACAGGAGGCAGCAGCCTCAAGCTTTATCCCTGCCCCTTCCTCAGGATTTCCGCTTTCTCCCATGCCTGCAGGCAGGCCATGCAGGCGGCAGGGCATACCTTGTGTCTCTACAGCTGGATGAGGGTTGTTCATGTTGCTGAAGGGCAAAGACAAAGAGACTCAGGATCCTAGATCCCAAGCAGCAGACCTCATCTTGCCCCGACTTGAACAAGTACTCATGCTCTATTACAATTAACCCAAGCCATGTCGTCTTCTACTTCCTTTGTCCATTTTCCAGGCCTCCCCCCTTCCTCCAGACACTCACCTATTGGCTTGGTGGCCTTTCGGTACCAGGATGTTAGGGTACTGCACGATGGGGGGGCCTGTGCCTCCAAATGGAAGATGGATACCGGGCCCTGCACCTGGATGGAGAGAGTCAGACATTCATCACAAGCCTCTCTATCACGGGGGGAAAGAGCATGTTCTGGAGGATGGTACCGGTCACTGCACAGGGACAGTGATCTCTACAAGGCAGGTGCTTGGCAAACACAGGCTAACACCTAGAAACTTGACAGAGAATATGACACACTATGGCTGGAAGGAGACACAAAGAAAACAGGTCAGCAAGCAGGTCATTGAAGCCCATTCAAGAAACAGCAAGGAACTTTGCTCCCAGAGTTGAAAGCCTTAGAGAGAGAATCACGTGAACAGTGAAATGGGGTAAGAACAGTACCTAGTATAGTACCTGGCAGGCAGAAAGTTCTCAATGAACCTGAACGCCCTAAGATATAATGTTGTAGAGGATAGGAAAGCTGGAGGAGCAGGGAGGAGAGGGTGAATCTGGAAAGGGTTTGGGAGAAATGGGGCAGGTCTGTGAGAGGCAAGCAGAAAGGAGGGGAAGGCCATTCTAGGGGTTGGTCGAGAGGCAGGATGGCAGTGGCCCAAAGGCAAACCTGGGGCTGGAAGCGCAGGAAGGTAGGAACAGAGCTGTATTTGCAGGAGGCAGGACACAGCCTGGACAGCCTTCTTTCACTCACACTTTAGCTCCAGTCTCGGAGGCCCAGACACTGTAGGAATATTCATACACCTCTCCTCCTCCTTCTCTTTGTGGCCTTCCTCCAACTCTTCATCTTCCCACCTACAAGAAGGTCTGCAGGGACAGGGAAAAGGGGCACCTTTCATAGAGGGCAGCTGCTTGATCTACTCCTCTATGGGACTCTGAGGAGGCCCCACCCCCCTGCCGTACCTCCCAACACCACAGCGGCCTGCATCCTTCACAGCAAAGCTGCTTTGCTTACCTGTGCTGAGCATCTGCTGTGCTGCTTTGCACCTTGGCTGAGGTCCCAGTCACTTGGTGGGCCCTGCTTGGAACCTGGAGCCTTTCTGGAGCTGGAGCTAGGGTCTTGGAATGAAGGGGAATACAGGCAATTGGTTTGAGAATGTGAATGTGTGGGGGGGGGGGAGGGAAAGAGAGGGAGGGAGAGAATGTGTGTCTCCCCTCCAGATGGCTGCCAAGAGGGTGGCCTTAGAGGGATAGAGACTTATGATTTACTTGATAGAGACAACCCTGAGTATACCACTTGTCTCTGGAATAAAATGGACCTTTTTCTGTTAAGATCTGCACTAGCAACTCTGAAGCTAGAACTCAGGGTTATAGATCTGTCAGAGCCTAGACCATCACTCCATCCTACCAAGGCCCTTCCCTGGAATAATCATAGGGTAGGTAGCAGATCTTAGGGCATGAAGGCATGAACCTTCTGGTCTAACACAATCCCCTGCCTATATCAGGCTAATCTAATTGTGTGTGTGTGTGTGTGTGTGTATGTGTGTGTGTTAATGCTGAAACTTGAACTCAGGGCCTCATGCTCTTGCTCAGATTCTTCACTCCTGGCTAGAGCTCTACCACTTGAGCTATGCTGGTTTTTTTGTTTTGTTTTTTGCCAGTCCTGGGGCTTGAACTCAGGGCCTGGATTAAAGGAAAATGTAACCCAGGTAGAAAGTAACCCAAAAGACCACACAGACAGAAGTTGCCTAGAGAAAAAGATTGATTGCCAGTGGAGCTAAAAAGGCCAAGTTTTTCATAAAGAACGAGAGAAAATGGTACTGTTTGGCTCCTTGGAGGCCCCTTTTATATCGCTGGGGGTCGGAAGTGGGC